GTAGTCCACTTTAAAACAATTGTGCAGAAATCCGTGAAACGAACACCGACAGAGCAGCAATGGTCCAACTGTGGGGGACCTGTGAAAATTAGTCACCATTTTGAATGAAGCTGAAATAAACTGGAGCTCAGGTGAGCGTTAATGTCTTACCTGCTGATCCACAAACATGCGCGCACACACACACACTCGCAGACCGAGAAAGAGAGGGAGCGCAGCACTGAGGCGTTTTACCTATGATCACACTTCAATTTAGATTTTCTGGCCAAGATCAGCTAAAGTGCAGGAAGAGAAAACACCTACCACCAGATCATCAGCGCAACATGCACCAGCGATTTGTTGCTTTCCGCTGCCAGAGTCCACCGGACGCAAGTCACACAGTGGGAGAACAATGACGACACATGCCTGACTGAGCGCCGCAGCTCCCTTATGTACACCACGCCCACCTTAAGAACCGGAACTTCTCACCTGGAAACTATTTGTGAAATTATGTATATTTCTATAACACTACACTGCTAGCTGTCCCCCAAACTGAAAGCTTTCCAGGAGCCTTTTATATGGTGCAAGTCGGCCTCATCAACATCCTGATTGGCTTGACAATCTTCTGGTGGTCCAATCATGTCTATGCTCCTCTGCAGCCTTCACGCAGCTGACAAGGAACATTTCTGTCAGAGCTGAACCTGCATAAGAAAACAAGCCTGGGCAGTCTTAAAAGGCCAGGGACTGTAACACGTTCAGGATCAGGCTGTTATTTCTGCACCTGTCCACCAGCTGCTCCCTCTCCTCTCTGTAGTCCTGGCTGTATCGTCTGCAAACTTCTCAATGTGATTGGTGGTGGACCTGGGGACACAGTCATTTGTCATCAGGGTGAACAGCAGGAGGTTCAGGATGCAGCCCTGAGGGGAGCCTGTGTTTAGACTGATGACATTAAAGGTGTTCTGTCCAACCCCGACCGACTGAGGTCATTTGGTGAGGAAGCCTAGCAGCCAATTGCAAGGGGGTGTATTGAAGCCCAGCGGTTCCAGTTTGCCAGAGTAATGATAGTGCTGTGGGATGATGGTGCTGAAAGCTGAACTGAAGTCCAAGAACAGCATCCAAATGTGGGTGTTCTTCACCTCCAAGTGTGCCAGGGTCAGGTGAAGAGCAGAGGAGATAGCATGTTCAGTTGAGCGGTTCCGACGGTAGGCAAACTGGAACGTATTGAATGTTGGAGGGAGACTTGAGATGATGTGCTCTTTAACCAGCCTTTCGAAACATTTTATCATGATAGGAGTCAGTGCGACAGGCATCATCAATCATTGAGTGAGGTCACCTGAGGCTTCTTTGGGACCGGACTGATGGTAGCAGATTTGAAGCATGCTGGCACTACGGATCAGTCCAGCAAGGTGCTAAAAATCTTTGTGAGGACACCAGCCACTCCTTGTACACCCACCCAGGTATGTTATCAGGACCTTGGGTTGACTCTCCTCAGAGTTTTCCTCACTTCAGCTACGTCCAGGTTTAGTGCCTCCTCCTCCTGGAGTGGAACAGCTTTCACTGCTGGAGTGCTGTTTCGTGCCTCAAAATTTCCAAAGAAGTGGTTCAGTTTATCATGAAATCAGTGTTTGCTGCATACATGGGTGGGGGGATTTGTTGTAGTAATCATCCGTATGCCTTTCCACATCCTCCTGGTGTTGCTAGCGTTGTAGAAAAAGATCCTTGATCTTCTGGCTGTAGTTCTGCTTTGCTGATCTGATGGCCCGGTTTAAGTTAAAATGAGCTGTTCTCAGTGCCTCTTTATCACCAGACTTGAAAGCTGAGTTCTGCGCTTTTAGAGATTTCTGGATCTCTCCATTCATCCAGGGTCATTGGTTGGCCCGAGTGGTGATGTTCTTTTTTATTCTGATGTCCTCAATGCATTTGATAATGTAGGCTGACACAGTCATGGCATACTCATCAGTAGTTGATGACTTGATGAACGAGCATAAATACCTTGGCCTTTACCTGGACAACAAATTGACTGTAGGCTGAACTGCAAAACCTTACAAGAAGGGACAGAGCAGACTGTGGCTGAATCTTAAACTGGCCCCTAAACACTAACCCTAACCCTTTGTTTGCACGTTCACTCAGATTTTCCGGTTTATTAAAAGCAGGAAAAAGGATTCTGTGATGGAAGATTTGTCTAATGACTGTGTTTTCAATGCCACATTTTACATAATAAAAAAACAGTACTTAGCTAGAAAGAAAAAAAAAACTGGAGCAGCAAACAAGTGTAGCGATACTTCTTCGGCATAATGATGGACCACTAGCCAAACAGCTACTTAAAGGACCATAGATGCAAGAAGGCCATCCATCAATTAAGTAATTTTATATCAATATGCTGTGATAGACTGGCGACCTGTCCAGGGTGTACCCTGCCTCTCGTCCGTAGATAGCTGGAGATAGGCACCAGCACCCCTCGTGGCCCCAATTGGGACAATGTGTCAGATAATGGATGGATGGATGGATATATCAATATGGACACTTAATTTCTGAAAAAAATAATTTTTCATACCTTTAAATGGGTCATAGAATGATTATACAGGGTATTTGGTCTAATGAGACAGAGACTGGATCCAAAATAAACCAAGACAGGTTAGTGACGTTTTGATTGGTTTATTGAGAGGGTTAATCTGACAGCGGGACTGAATCTGTGAGAGCAACAGGCTACAGGAAGACAGGCGGGCAGATCGAGGGAGGTTTACCAGTTTTTGATCCAGGACGGGGAGGCAGGCAGTTGAGCAGAGCTTTTCCGAGTCTGTGATCCAGAGAGAGGGGAGCAGGCAGACCGATCAAAATGAATCTGAGATCCGGGGATCCAGAGGCAGAGCAGAGAGGGTAATCAGGCAGGCAGAATCAGACATGGTCAGGCAGGCTCGGTATCAGGAGGCAGATCGGGTCAGAAACAGGTAGACAATCAGGTAATCTTTAGATGCTGGACTATTCTTAGCGGTTTGGCTCGAGGTAATCTGGCACTGAGGACTGATCTGATGGGGTTTATAAACTGCTGGAAACAGGTGACTCCGGTCAGAGCTAATTGCGGACGGGAGGAGCAGAGCAGGTGTATGGACTGAGTGATCAGGCCAGAATCAGTGCAGAAACCATTACATTTGGTGCTGGTCCTTAAGGGTTGTGAATAGGGTGTGTAACACTGGTTGGGCTGAATGTGCCACATTTGCTGTTCTATGTGCCCTAATGCAAGCCTGGTTAAAAGCCCCAGAAAAAACGACGGGTTTCCTCCTTTCATGGTATGCTCATAATCACTTTAAAGCTCCTTTAGATGAGCTGAGCTTGTTGCATCATAGTAACCAGCACTCACTCACTGAAACATCAAATTGTTGATATTGTAGGGTGACCAGACGTCTTCCTACTTTGTGTCTTACTTTTATACCTGAAAAAATGTTCAAAGGGAATTTCAAAATCGCCTGGGATTTTGGTCGACTACAATGCAACCAAATACTAATAATAAATAATGCCCCCCTTCCCTTTGGACAGTGAACTAGTGGTCTTGTCTGTATGTCAATTTCGAGTTGTGACAAAAGTACAGGAAATAAGGCAACATCCCCAAGTTTACGTCAACTCGGTGCTTCGTTTGAATTCGCTTGTTTTATGGTGGAAGTTTAGAATTGTGAGATTTGCAACGAAAGGAGGTGTTGATCGGGTTTGAACTTCTCTGCACAACAATTTTACCCACTTAACTATCGTTATCATCTATGATAATGTAAACACAGTTTTGCATTTTATGACCCCTTTAAGGACTGTCCCAAACCCTATAGTGGGTAGGGCGAGTGGACCGTTCAGCCCTTAATTAGCGCATCTGCATCACTGCAGGCCTGTTTAGAATTTGGCAGCAGGTGTAACGGTAGTAGAAAGATGTTACTCCATATATATGTGCCGCTGGTTTGCTGGATCGTCGTCATGCTTACAGAAAATCAAAAGTTAGGTATATAAAAACATTTATTTATTTCTAAAACCTAATGTCCTCTTTGAAATAGTTTTATTTGAACATATACATTTGTTTCCTGAAAGGGGCAAAGTTTTAAATGTATGTCAACCTGCGCCACAGAGCTACAGCCATGCACATGGGGCGTCACTGTGTTGCCACTGCTTTCCTGTCCCGTTGGAGGGAAGAAGCCATCCATTCTGATTATGCCCACCCACCTTTAATCAAGACATTCCAGAGCTGTGATTGGAATAAAATAGAGAACATTGTGGACAACTATGACTTTTGAACCACAATATTGTCATTAGTCAAAGACACACCGCTGGAAAGACACACCAATGGAAAATATATCTCCTGCCTGCAGCTTTAATATCTACAACAACTCCTTGTAAAAAAAAATAAAATAAAATGTTTAAAGCAATGTCCTGAATTTTTGATTGAATAGAATTACATGAAATCGAAGAATCATACTAAGAGTGCGTCTTTGCAACAGCAGTGATATTAATATCGCACATTGTGAATTAAACCAGCTGGATTTTTACATATTGGTAGTATTACGTCTCGAAAATCAACAGTTTCTAGTTATTTTTGTCCCTGTTTTCTTGCATCTGTGACACATCACATAGGAAACTAGCTCAAACAGCTGAAAATGATGATCTGCCAAGCACGGGGTGGTATAACTGTCAGTGAGGTATAGTAATGCACATCTGGAAATACTTTGTCCCATAGAACAATAAAATATTTTAGGATTTCATTCAGAATTAATTCAATTCTTAGGATTTGTTATTAGGATTTTAAAATGGTACAACTCCAAAGATGTGTTGCTCAATATCGCTGCATGTTGGAGAAGCTTTAGTTTGATTCTGATATTCCTTATCAAACTATTTGTCTTCCTCCATTTGCGGATCAATTTCTTTTTAAATAGAAACATTTCCTTCTCTAAAAAAAAAACAAATAATAATAACACTGTATTTTTCTTTACTATTCTTAGAATTAATGCATCTAAAGCATTGTTTCTGATGATATTATTTTTTTCCCCCAGGTAGTGGAGGACTGCTACGATATTTTAAAGGAGTATGGCTTCCGCTTTGTGAGAAGAGGACCTATCTTTGTGAAGGGAAAAGGGGAATTGCTCACTTTTTTTCTTAAAGGAAGAGAAAAACAGGGCTCATTTATTAATGCTTCATCTGTCACTCTACCACACCAAGTGGTAGATGGTTAAAGTTCTCACTTAAGACAAACACTCCCTGTTCCCATCGTTTGGATATTTAAATGCTGCAATGTGCAGGAAAAAAAGTTTAAGAAGAAAAAGTAGTTAGGTTTTAATGTACATTGAAGCATAGAAATTCCTAAATTGTTCTTTTGTATGTATCTCATTACTGAATTGGGTTGTTTACTTTGAAAATACTGCAAAATAGATAGCCAGATAATGTTTTGTGTTGAATGAATCTAAAATTGAGAGACATTTTTTCATAGCAATATTAAACAGAAAATAGGTTTCTGTTATGTTTATAGTTTAAGGAAATTTTTCAGCACACTGTTTCAAACTACTTTTTATTATCTCTAACCTTTTGTTTTTTTAGGGTTATTATGATTAATGGAGTATTAACACATACACACATACGTTTTTGCTGCGTTAGACCAGAGGTACCTTATATTTTCCCAGTATTCAATCTTATACAAATGGTTGATCTGTAGACATAATGGTGCATTTAATGTTTAAATGTTTAGATTGGTAGAGAAATTTGCTTTCAGTTCTTGTAATTAAAGCAGTGAACATGTTTAAAACAGTCTACATGAGGACTTGGACATTTTTTTTTATATATTGCTCAGGTCAGTGATGAGCTATAAGTCATGTGTTTTTGTAGATAGAATCCTAGCTGGTTTTTTTTAATGCGTCATGGACAATTTCTCTGTGGATCTATTTGAATTATGAAAAATAACAAAGTCAAAGAGCATACAGGAATATGTAGTTGTGCTAAAAAGGTGTACGTGGGAAACATGACCTATAAACCTGTATAAGTTAATCCACCAATATTAAGGAAAATCTGCCTGTGTTTAAAAAAACTTTTGTGAAGTTAATAAAATATTGTGATTATCTAAGGGCTGAAATACTTTCTCATCAAATCCCTAACATCTAGTCATCACAAATAATGCATTATTGTTAGGCAGGAACCCAAATGTGTACCACATAAGCTACATAATGTCTGAATATTTTCCTTTCAATCTATCAATTCTGAGTAATAATTACATCTTAATATTAAATGCAGCATACCAAAAATGGTTAAAAGCTGATTTAAATTTCAATGAAAATGTACAAGTATACACTGCATGAAAAGTGGGATTTTCGTCAATATGCGGCACTGTAGATTGTCGTTGAAGTTCAGTTAAAGGCAGTGTTGTGGGAAAATTTATATCTTTCTCCTATTATATATTAATATTCATATTTACTCACTATAAAAGTTTTCACTCAGTCTGTTTCTCTCTCAAGGCCACACCATTCCCTGCAGAATGTTGTTTGTAGACCAGACATTGCTTCTTCCCATAACAATCCAGATTCTTTCTCAAGGTTTATTCATAACATGTTACTGTTAAGCAAAGTGTGTGTAATTTGTTATGACTCTGACGGCTTTCCATCGTTGTAACTAGGGGTGAACGAACCCTGCCCAGATCAGAACAGAGCAGAATGCTGTGCCATGATGACTGTTCTCTCTTTGCAAAGATCTGAATAAATGTGCCGACTGAGTGAAATCCATCGATCTCCGTTTATTTAACTAGGATGAATAGTTGAATACTTTTTTCCCACGACAATTTGGCGTTGTCAAGGCAGTTCTCTTTGACTGATTTTTTCCGAGGACAGCGATTGTCAGAAGTGTCAGGTACCACCTGGAGGAAGCAGTCTTCCAGCCTCAATACCCTGGTTAGAAGGTTAAGGGAGTGAGGACTTCTGACATCGAGGTCCCTGGAGGTCAGCAGGAGGATCAAAACGAACCATTTTTTTTTTTGAGACGGTGAGATGATCTTTTGTCGGCACAGTTTAAATTAAATTTCAAAAACTAAATCACAAAACAACAGATTGTTAACAGATTTAAAGATTACTAGAAAGCAAATACTGGAATATTAGCTCAAACAAAGTCCTCTTCTTCTCCATTAATATTATAATCTAGCAAGAAACTAACTAAATTAAAGATTAATAGGTAAATCATTTTAATGCACTTAAATTAGTATAATACTAAAGATTATACATATGGAATAACAGATAATTTTTGTTTTGGGGAGCAGAAAGGCAATTCAGGTTTTTTTCCACCTGTGAACCAAAAGACCTCGCATAGGAACGTGAGGCTCTCTCTAAGGGTGAGAGGAAGGTTGTAGGTGCCACCAGAAGGCATTTAATTTTACTGAGACGTCGGTAATCTAGAGTGGGATCCCCCCCAGTTATCCAGGTCGGCACCAGAGGATTGGTGTGCATATTGGAAACAGGTAAATTACCTGTAGATAATGGGAAAGGTTTTGCAGTTCTACAGTATGGTAGTAGAACTAAAGGCAAGGTTCCAGAGAATTGTCAACTCCTCAAGAAGAAATTTTTGATTTAATGTTGCAATAGAAAAAATGTTGAAGATAAGACAAAACGAATATCATGAGAAGTTAGAGGCTAAAAAGAAGGTAAGGTAAGAAATTTACTGATTTTGGAAAAAAAAAAAAAGACAAAAAAAATGGGGAAAAAAAGGAGAAGAAAACAGTTTAAAATGATGGATGGTTAAAAGGAGAGTTCAAAGACACTCTCAGCTTCAAAAAGAAATGGGTTAAAATAAGAAGTCAAAAAAGGCAGTGTTTAAACCTGATACTAAACATATTTACACTGTATTACATATTAAACTTACACTATACTAAGTTATATAATGAATTTTAATTTCAATGGTGCTTTTAAAGAAACAAAACTCTCTCAATTTTTACAGGAAGTTAATAACTCATAGCTAAAAATAAAAAACTATTAAATTTATTACAAAAAAAATAAGTAGGGCATAAAATAAGGTGAAATTAAAAGTTTAAAAACTGAAAAAACTTAAGATAAAATAAAATGGAGGAATTAACCTAAAATCAAATAAAGAAAACAACAAAATTAAATAGAGAAAAGTAAGGTTGATGATAAAAACAAAATTTGAGAAAATTAGATGAGAAAAGTTAGTGACAAGAGGGGAAATGTATGAGGTAAGATCACTGTCAAAATAAACTTGTGCATAAAAGCATAGTTGTGTGCATTTTAGTCAGAAGTTGTGCATAATAAAAATTTGTAAACTCATAATAATTGAAATCTCATTCAAAACATGCAACATACAGTTTAAATAGTTACAACTTCAATAACTAATAAATACGAATTTCAAGTTTAAATTTGTGCTTTATTCTTTATGAACACAAACAGCAGCGGCTGTTTGAGAATACGGATTTTTTCTTTGAGAATACGAATTCACAACAGTGGTCTGACGTCACGGTTTCCAAGGCTGGTTAATGGAGCACAGAGCAGGAAGATAGGAGCCGCGCATGCGTACTAAGTGTTCTTTCAACTTAGTAGCGGCAAGATGACGGACCAGGAAGCTACGGAGCAAAGCCAGGTAATCTTTAACATTTGTAACTTAAATCTTTATGTCTGTAGTTGATATTCAGACATCTAACTTTATTGAACTTTCTGTTAGGTACAGTTAGCGGATATCCTAAACACGGCACACAGTCTTGTGTCATTATTAAACCGAAGGTTAGGCTCTTCAGGGACTGTGAGGCCAGTTGCACAAGAAAGTGAAAGACAGTCTGTTGAGGGACAGTCGAGGCAAACAGAGACAGGTCCACAGTCAGGACAGCTAAGATGTCCTCAGCGCAGTGGTTCAGTTCATCAAGAAATGGCTCGGTAAGTTTCAACTTAGTCAGCCTGTGTAGCAAGTCTGCGGTCTGTGTTGATCTTCTGCATTTCTGTCAATTTAAATTTGATATTGAATAAAATAAGCTGTATAAACATCATCATCATCATTTTTTTCAGATCATTTCCTGGACTTTTTCGCCGAGAGACAAAAGGGAAAAGACGTTTTACACCGTATACCCGACCAAAAAAAAGTTTTCTGGTGAACTTTTTTCTCCTTGAGAAACAACGTTCCAAAACCCCCAAAGGAGACGAAGAACTCCAGCTTATATTGGCTGGTCTGGGTAAACGTTCTCTCTCAGTAACAGAGAGTTTAACACATACAGAGGTAATTTTTCTTTAAGTATAGTAGACTAAACTATAATCTGTTTCTTTCTTTCTTTGTTTCTTTTTATTGTTGGAGCTATTCTATCCACTGACTTTTTCTGCATCCTGTGATAACTGAATGAGCCGATGTCTTGGCTGAATTTCCCCATATAATTATATATATTCCAAATCAATGATCTCTCCTTGGGTTACGGAATAGAAAATGTAGAAAATAATTGTATTTGTTATATGTATGATATTGACTAGACTTTTTTTGTATAAGCTGACAGATTTGTTGCTTAATGCATTTCCAAGGCTTGCAAGCATCAATGGTGGCTGGTTGCTATACAAGTCTACAGGTATGTTGTAATGAAACATAAACTGTTAAACTTATGTTATACAACCAGTTTAACTCGGTGAATTTACAGTTGAGTAAATGATGTCTGTAAATGTTTAACATTTCTAGGTGGTGGTGGGCAGCGCAGATTAGCTGTTATTCCTCCTGATTCTGATGGTCATAGTGGGCACCAACTGAAGACCGTTAGTGGAAATGGAAAATGTACACTGTACATAACTCCTCTACAGGAACAAATTGAAACTTCTCCATTACCACCAGATGCAAAAGAATTTGAAAACATGCCTAAAGCTCCATGCACCACCTGCAACAACATGGTACCACTCCAAGCTCTTCCGTTTCACATCAAGAGCTGCAAAGAGGAAATGATTTATCTCAGCAGCTCCCCTGAGAATGTATGTCAAATACTGGCTATAAGTAATAAAGTGTTGGCTGTAATTAACCAAATAATTGATTACATTTATATTTGTATGTTTTATAATTAGGAAAGCTTCACTCAGGACAATGAATCTCCATTAAGGACAAAACATCAGACAGAGATGGTGAGATGCTTTGTTTGCTGGTTGTCTGTTTGAATTATTAATTTAACTTTTTTATGTACATTCTGTGTCATTTAGACTACTGAGTGTCCAGTGTGCAGAGGTATATTCAGCACTGATGCCATTGAGACCCATGCATCTGACTGTGGAATACGGTACTTCACCAGGATAAAAAAAAAAAAAAACATTTCATGTAGTCAGTGATTTATCCATATATGAATTCTAATTATTATTCCTACAGATCTTCAAACCAAGAATGCAATATAAGCACCTCAGAGGATGAGAGTAACTACTTTCAAAGGTAAACAAAAACAAAACTCCGTTTCACCATATTTATAGAGGAAAATGCATTATTTAAAGACGGGAGCTCCAATTAGTTATATTTTGATTCAATTTCTAGCAAAAGAATGGATAATATTTTTACATTATTCTTTCAGAAAGTGTTGGTAATATTTCTTTATCAGTTTTCCCACTCCTAACTTATTTGCTGTCAATGAACAACTAATTATAATTAACTAACTATAATTTTTTTAGCTCAGAGGAAATCTTGAACTGGATCAGCGGCCAAGTGGACGACAGTTGCACATTTTCCCTTTGTGTGTCAAGATTTGATCTCTTTAGTAGAGGAATGCAACAGTGGCAACGCCAGAAAAAATCCCGTCCAAACTGCCGACTGAAGGTTTCTTTTTTGGGGGAATCTGGCATTGACACAGGCGCTCTAAGTAAAGAGTTTCTAACAGGTACATTTACATTAGCTCATTGAGTTAGTTTTAATGGAACTTAAACATTATTCGATCACACTTTATATAATTTTTTTTCTTGTTGTTGTTCAATTTAGAAATGGTTTCTGAAATAGAAAACAAACTGTTTGTGGGCAGTGCAGACAAGAAGGGCAAAAATCCTCTGTACTGCCTTAACAGCCTGGATACTAACTACTTCCGGTACATAAAGCATTTTTTTTTGCCTTAAATAATTACATTTAATTAATACACTTATACTAAGTACATAATTTTTTCTTGATCTTTAGGACGGCTGGAGAAGTTATGGTAGCGAGTATGGCTCAAGGCGGACCCCTCCCAAACTTCATGCGTGAATGGTGCTACAGATACCTCTGCTCTGGTGATTCAGACAGCATCCAGGTGTCAACTAATGATGTCACAGATTCAGAACTGTTCCACCTTATAACAGAGGTAAGGAAGGTTTTAAAATCCAGCTAAAAACTGGACTATGTTTTTTTCCTAAAAAAAAGTCCTCTGAACAGATTCTTCTTTGTAGAAAAAATTCATCTCTTCTGTAAGAGACCTCTTCAGGCAAGAGAGTTACCAGTAAAGTCAGCCTTATAAGCAGTACTTTTGCAACAAGTTAATGATGGAAATCAAAACTGGTTAGTCACGTGCTGATCGTTCAAGTCTTATTCCTGGCCTGTTGTCCTCAGAGGGCTGATTCATGCTCACAATAACGGCATTGGAAGGGAGACAACTGGACCCAGCGACCTCCATGATCCAATCAATCGGTCATTGGGCAGAGGGTATCTTTTGCATGTGACTACCTGTAACAATTTCCATTGCTAATTTGTAGCAAAGGTACTGCTTAACAGGCTGAGTTTACAGGTGACTCTTAGACTGAAGAAGTCTCTTGGAGAAGGGAGATGTATGTACATGAGCCTGACCGCCCAGACACACACACAGATGAAACTGCTGAGATTTTTGTCAAAAAATAACATTTCTTGTTTGATTTGCTTCTCAATTTTGACATCAATAAGGGGGGAAAAAATGAAAAGGATAAAATGGGAAAAAAATATATAAAGCCACACCCAAAGGTACATACAGTGCGTGTAATCGTACATCTGCAGGAACCCCTGTGTACAGATTAAATTATGTTACAGTGATTAAAGGTATGTGAAATATTAGCTTATTATTGAGCAAAAGGTTATATACTGTAAACTACCACCGAAAAAAGATTTCCAGAAAAAACAGTGTATTCAGTTGTCATTTGTAAGTTTCCAAACATTTTTGGAAAAATAAAGCTTGTTTGGTCTTCAGGTAAACAGAGCAACTGATGAGAACATAAATGAGCTTACGGATGACATAGTAGGCTGTGGCTATACTGGAAAGGTATCTGTGGACAAAAAAGACCTCATCATGAGGTAAAGTTTTTGTTTTTCTTTCATTTGCTAAATATTACTGATTATTCAAATGTGTTATTTGTGTCATGTAACTACTTCTAAATGTTGAGAAATTATTCTAAGCACACAGAATTTTGTAATTAAATGCTTTTGTATTGTCTTATATAAATATGTTTTGCAGAGCGATTGTGTTGCACTCAACAATGAGACTTGTGCCGATGCTTGACCAACTGAGAAAAGGCCTGCAGCTGTGCGGCCTGCTACAAGTGATGAAAACCAACTCAGATTTGTGTTTGCCTATGTTTGTTCCTGGGGAAGATGGCAGAGTGAGTATACATTTATGTTGTCTCCATTAAAATAGTTTTATAAACATATGGAACGACTTATTTGTATCCTTTGATCATGCCAGGTGGATGCTGCATTTTTCCTTGAAAGATGCCAACCTGGGTTTAGTTAGAGGGGTTCTGTGAGATACAGCAGAGAAGTTAACATCATGAACTTCTTTCAAGACTTTCTACAAAACATAGAGGACTGTGGTATGTTTTCACTGGCATGACTATTTTGTTGTAAATGTACTACTGCCAGTGGTGATAGGAAAACAATGTTTTGATCTGTGTGTTTGTGTGTACTGAGAGAACTTTTCTCATGAATAACTTCATTTATTATGAATACTTTATTATAATACATTTAAATCTAATCAACTTCTTAGTTGATCTTATATTTATCGGCTAATGTAGAATGTAAGCATAATGCTGCTTTCAGACCAAACTCCTTTTAAGCATTAGTGACTTCACATGCAATGTTTATGGTGAATGCGCCCTCGGATTACTTTGAGCTATCCTACGGTGCGTCACACGCATCTTGCGCTGCAAGCTTTGAAGCTTTCTGGATGTTTTGTGCTGCCTATTTGGGTTGACCAGCTTTGAGCACCTCTAGAGCGGCCTATGTAAGAGCTGGATGCAATAGTTGTATTTTATAATAATCCAGTAATTCACAGCACATTCACGTCGTGCAAGGCTCTCAACATTTTGCAAGAGTTTGGAATGCACCTATAACATTAAAGGTTTAACCAAAACTGTTTAATTTCAAAAACAAAATCTGACTTAATAAGCAGTTGTAATATGCATATCTTCAAAAATGCTAGGCTTTTAACTTTTTGTTTTCTCCTTAACATCTACCTTCTTTACAAGAACAAGATGGTCAGAAGGAGGATCCACAGCAGCTGACCGTTGGCAAAATCATGCAGTGGATAACAGGACAAGCACACAAGCCAGTGCTGCCCAGTGAGAAGAAGGACTTCTTCATTTCTGTTAAATTTTACCATGACTGTGACTCAAGTCATACCATTTGTTTTCCTGTTGTTAGTCCCTGTAGCCGCACAATCACATTTCCAGTTGTACATCTTACAACCCTGAATGACTTTAAAGAAAATATGATAGCAGCCGTTACTCACGGACAATCATTTAGCCTCGTCTGAGTGATTTTGCTTTTTGTTAGTTAAATGTGCCGTTCTGTTGGAACTTACATGAAAAAAACCACAGTGGCCAATGTTTCTAAGTGAAATCCTTAAAGTTCTGTCAGTTTGATAAGTAAACACTTTCCAGGACTTTAGTTACCAGGTTTATAAAAACATTTGTGTAAGTTATATTCAGCTGTTTGAGTTACAAGAAATTCAGTTCAAGGAATGAAAGTTTTTAAACTTTCAGTGTTTTATAAAGGAGTTTGACAGTTTTTTTCTAAACAAATAAAAACTGAATTATTTTTTACGTATCTTCTGATTTATTTATTCAAACACAATAATTAAAGTTTTTCATCAACAATCACAACGACACACAGCTCCATAAACTATACTTTCATAATTTGTAATCTGTATAGAAATGAGTAAAAAGAATACAATCAAATACAGATGAATAGCTGTGCAGATAAATGACATTAAATACCCAAAAATGGTGACATCAATGTAGATTATTAAATTTGCAAAGGCAGGATACAGCAAATAGTCATATTTTCACAACAGGTGTGTTACTTAAATGCTGTTGCTTGTTGCCCAGTGATCTTCAACATACTGAATCATTGACACATAAATGTCCTGTCCATATGATTGAGAAGGTGCAAGTGGATTGATCATGGTCATCACAGCTTCCATTGCATTTGAAGTCAGAGGACAGTCAACTTCTGGGACATGAACTCCAGAAGGTTCTTCACTGACACCATCAAACGTTTCCCAGTCAGTTCCAAAGAGCTCTGGGTTCTATAAGCAAAAATCAATGACTTCTAACTGCCAAATAATAATGTTTAAGTTTTGTTTCATTAAACAAACCTGCACATCTTCAGTCTCATGAGAAGGTTTCTGCATGTGTCCCATGGTCCAGAGCTGGTTAGGGGTGAGGCCACCTTCAGACTTTAAAGGATGATTGTCCCATCCTTCTGTGAAGGTGTGCAGAGCATCTGCAATGCGTGGAAGGAACACATAGTGTGCACAAAACAAATGCAGAGTGTTGGACAACTCCAGAAGTCCGTGCTCCTCCAGATTGTGAAGTACTTCGTAGTAGAGATGAGTTACACTGGTCCACACGTCTTGCCATAGGCGCTCAATTCTTAATACAGAATTATATTTAAAAAAAAACAGAAAAGCAGAAGGTGAAACAGCAAAAAAGCAAGTGTTTTCCATTTGACCCTGTGGAGTTATAACAGACAAACCATTAATGATACAGCCATGATCTTTTCTGGCAATCACCTAGAGCTGAAAACTAACAATATAAAGTAGATTTGAGCAGATGTTTTTGGTTCCAAGCTTCAAATCAGAAGTTGAGGCCAAAATGCTCTTTTCACAGTGAGATAAAGCTATTTTGGCCTGTGGAGTTATAACAGACAAACCATTAATGATACAGCCATGATCTTTTCTGGCAATCACCTAGAGCTGAAAACTAACAATATAAAGTAGATTTGAGCAGATGTTTTTGGTTCCAAGCTTCAAATCAGAAGTTGAGGCCAAAATGCTCTTTTCACAGTGAGATAAAGCTATTTTGGCCTGTGGAGTTATAACAGACAAACCATTAATGATACAGCCATGATCTTTTCTGGCAATCACCTAGAGCTGAAAACTAACAATATAAAGTAGATTTGAGCAGATGTTTTTGGTTCCAAGCTTCAAATCAGAAGTTGAGGCCAAAATGCTCTTTTCACAGTGAGATAAAGCTATTTTGGCCTGTGGAGTTATAACAGACAAACCATTAATGATACAGCCATGATCTTTTCTGGCAATCACCTAGAGCTGAAAACTAACAATATAAAGTAGATTTGAGCAGATGTTTTTGGTTCCAAGCTTCAAATCAGAAGTTGAGGCCAAAATGCTCTTTTCACAGTGAGATAAAGCTATTTTGGCCTGTGGAGTTATAACAGACAAACCATTAATGATACAGCCATGATCTTTTCTGGCAATCACCTAGAGCTGAAAACTAACAATATAAAGTAGATTTGAGCAGATGTTTTTGGTTCCAAGCTTCAAATCAGAAGTTGAGGCCAAAATGCTCTTTTCACAGTGAGATAAAGCTATTTTGGCCTGTGGAGTTATAACAGACAAACCATTAATGATACAGCCATGATCTTTTCTGGCAATCACCTAGAGCTGAAAACTAACAATATAAAGTAGATTTGAGCAGATGTTTTTGGTTCCAAGCTTCAAATCAGAAGTTGAGGCCAAAATGCTCTTTTCACAGTGAGATAAAGCTATTTTGGCCTGTGGAGTTATAACAGACAAACCATTAATGATACAGCCATGATCTTTTCTGGCAATCATCTAGAGCTGAAAACTAACAATATAAAGTAGATTTGAG